TATATATATATATATACATACATATATATACACATATATATACATATATTTAAGATTTAATATATGAAGCAAGTACAAAATAAAAAATAAATGAAAGAAAAATCAAAAAATTGTTATAGGTGGGAAGAAGAAAAAAAAAATGATGGTACAAAATGGACATTTCTGCAACATAAAGGACCAGTATTTGCACCTCCATATGAACCACTTCCCCTTGATATAAAGTTTTACTATAATGGAAAAGAAATGAAATTAAGTCAAGACTCGGAAGAAGTTGCAACTTTTTATGCACGTATGTTGGATCATGATTATACTACAAAACCTGCATTTAATAAGAACTTCTTTGATGATTGGAGAGAAGTGATGACTGAATCAGAGAGAGCTAAAATAGTTGATTTAAGTAAGTGCAATTTCAAAGAAATGCATTCATATTTTGTTCAAAAAAGTGAAGAACGAAAAGCAATGTCAAAAGAAGAAAAACAGAAAATTAAAGAGAAAAATGAAGAAATTCAAAAAGAATATGGTTTTTGCACTATCGATGGACATAAGGAAAAAATAGGTAATTTTAAAATTGAACCGCCTGGTTTATTTAGAGGTCGTGGTGAACATCCAAAAATGGGTAAATTGAAAAGAAGAGTTATGCCAGAAGATATTCTCATTAACTGTTCCAAAGATTCTGATATACCAAAGCCACCACCAGGACATAAATGGAAGGAAGTTCGGCATGATCCTAATGTTACTTGGCTTGCATCTTGGACAGAAAATATTCAAGGACAAGTGAAATATGTTATGTTGAATCCATCAAGCAAGCTTAAAGGAGAGAAAGATTGGCAAAAATATGAGACTGCTAGAAAATTGCTGCTAGGAAATCCGCAATTAATAGATAAAATACGTGCAGAATATAGAGAAGATTGGAAAAGTAAGGAAATGCGGATAAGACAGAGAGCTGTTGCATTATATTTTATAGATAAATTAGCTCTCAGAGCTGGTAATGAAAAGGACGAAGATCAAGCAGACACTGTTGGTTGTTGTTCACTACGTGTAGAACATATTACATTACACGAACAAAAGGATGGAAAAGAGTATGTAGTTGTATTTGATTTCTTAGGTATGTTTATTTTTTTATATATAAATTACAAAATGAAATTTTTAATAATATAATTTATAATAAATACGTATATTACTTTAATATATCTATTATTTTTAATATATCTATAGGTAAGGATTCTATAAGATATTATAATGAAGTGCCAGTAGAAAAAAGAGTATTCAAAAATTTACAACTTTTTATGGAAAACAAATCACCAAATGATGATTTATTTGATCGGCTTAATACAACTGTTATGAATAAACATTTAAATGAATTGATGGAAGGACTCACTGCTAAAGTATTCAGAACATATAACGCTTCATGGACATTACAACAGCAATTAAATGAATTAACAAATCCTGATGATACAGAAGCAGAAAAAATTTTATCATATAATAGAGCAAATCGAGCTGTTGCAATACTATGTAATCACCAACGTTCAGTGCCTAAAACACATGCAAAATCCATGGAAAATCTTAAGGCAAAAATAGAAGCTAAGAAAAACGCTATAAGTGAAGCAGAGTTAGCGGTAAAGGATGCTAAACGTGATGCAAAACATGGGTCTGTCAAAGAAAAAGTGTATGTATTAATTAATTATTAAAAATTAAATAATATTATATTTTACTATATACTCATTATTACAGTGTATATGAAAAGAAGAAAAAAGCTCTTGACAGATTAAAAGAGCAATTGACAAAGCTGGAGGTTCAAGCAACAGATAAGGAGGAAAATAAAGAAATTGCATTGGGCACCTCTAAATTGAATTATCTTGATCCTAGAATTACAGTTGCATGGTAACTTTGATTCTTCTTTTATTTTAATTAAATATTATGTTTACAAATGTACAGATTTAAATTATTAATTTTATATTATTTAGGTGTAAGAAACATAATGTCCCTATTGAAAAGATTTATAATAAAACTCAGAGGGATAAATTCAGATGGGCAATAGACATGGCAGGACCTGATTATGTATTTTAACCCCATAGAAGATTAATTATGAAAAATAACTCTCACTGATTGTATTTAGTGAAATTTTCGTTAAAATTATCAAGGGAAAAGTAATGGTATAATTTTCTATATTTACAAACGATAAATGTGAGAATGTGAAAACATATTTTGTATAGAACACTACGTTAAATTTCGGTAAAGACTTTATATTCAGTATGTAATTAACACATACTAGTAGTCTAGAATTGATCGTTAGCAATCATTGCATAAAAATTTTAGCGATCGCATTTGCATATAGACGTTTAATTGATCTTATAAATATTAGAAATGAAAATTGTATAGTTTGACAAAAATTTAAATTCATGTTAGGTAGAAATTTATAATATTTGTGAATTAAAAAAAACAAAATTTGTGCAAGTAAATCTAAATTTAGAGAGAGAGAGAGAGAGAAAGAACTTAACATACTTCATTAGAATAAGAATTTTAGTCTCTAAATTTAGAAGTGCACAATACATATGGGCTGTTGCATTGTATATAGAACTGTTCATGAAAACTTTGCCAGCCAATTAAAAAAGAGGTATATTGTATTAGGTCTATAAAAATCCGACTGCTGAATGAACAGTTAATTTTATATTCCTTTAATTTTTTCTTATAAGTTTTTTCTTATAAGTGTACAATGTCATCAATGAAAAGTACTTGTATTTTGCATTCTGAAAAGTTGGAGTCGTGTGCTCTATGTGAACTTTTTTAGTATAAAATTTATTAGGTCGAAATTGCATTAGTAAACTCGATTGGAATATACTGTCTGAAAAGATGACATACTAATGTATTTAAAAAGTAGATTATTGCTTTTAGCGATTTATGCTTTATAAAACGAAATATTAGTCTATAATAAATGTGAACACAGTGTATCCTTAACATTTTTTTAGTATTTGTACACTTAAAAACCTTGTGATCACCATGAAATATTGTAAAAGAAAACTGTTCCAATATATTAGAAATTAGTTATATTCATAATTATAATTGAATTTTGTTTGATCATATCAACTATTGTCATTTTAATATATATGAACCTGTATTTAGTAGTAAAATACTCAAATTTACTGCAATATTTTTCAAAATCCTTTACCTTATATATGTTAATCATTTGTGCAAGATATTCTACAATTAAAGAATATCTTTGTTTATGTGACTAATAGGATTCAAATTACAGATTAATTTTTGAATGTAAAATATCTTATTTTAATCTTTTATAAGTAAATCATATTTAGAATAGATAAATCTATTTGCTTATTTATCTTGGAATATAGACTAGAGACGAGTAATTTTTTTAAATTGCTTAGAATATATTTACATTAATTGTAGATTTTATAACAAATATATTATTTCTTTCATAAAAATATTCACTTATTTTGCTAAATTTAATATTAATTACTCGTCACTGACAACGTATTCCCAAATCACTGTGTTATATGCGTATGTACACAAAAGATCTTTTACACTGAACTTATATATAAATATACATTTAAGGAAGTTGCAATGGTAAAATTATACAAATATGTAATTAGAATGGTGGTTTATTTATAACTTTTGTTTTAAAACATTATACTGACCACAAGTTAGTCCATTTTATTTAAAACTTATATTGATGTGTTTTAAGAAATATTATAAAGTTATTAAAGGCCACCATTCTCATAAAACTGCCAATTGTATGAAGAATCGCATAATTTAATCGTCTGCTATGCTATAAACTAGTTTCATTTCATTTATATCTTATTTTCATTAATAATTCAAAATGAATCTTTTATTCATTTACAATACTTAACGATCTAAAGTATCAATCTCATATCGTTTTATATTGCCTTTTCTTCTTAAATATTGATGATTATAAACATTTTTGAAGACGAAACTGGTACTGTATATCAGACTACATTAATTTATACGATGATCAAGTAGACTGAATTTAAGATATATATATATGTGCGAATGTATGTTGTATTATTCTTAATTTACTTTATTAAAGTCATTTGCAATATAGAAATTAATAACTAATTAACATGATATTATAATGAAATACAATCATTAAGTAGGCCTCTGATATCAAATATTTTATGCACATAACATCAAATATAACATTTTTAACTTTTGCAAGAGATAAAAAATAAAAATACAATCGATATCTAGTACAATGAAATATGCACAAATTGAAAGTGTATGTATATTTCAAACATTATCATTTCTATACGATACTGGAATAATAAAACTTATAGTGCAAAAAATAAATTGATTTATTTATATAATCATTTTAAATATTCATATACTTACTAATAATAGTAGTAGTAGTAGTAGTAGTAGTAGTAATAGTAGTAATTCGAAGATTTCTGATATATTTCATCAAATTATACGTGTGCTTTATTTTGAAGTATAAAAAAAATAGAACTCAAGATATTTTACTTTTATTGATTTATTATTAAAGAGCAAAGTACAATAATATACTATTATATTACTGCAGTTAGTAATGATAGTAATAAATTATTAATAATTTAATTACAATAATTGTGTAAATTTGTAATAAATATTAAAGATGTAAAAACATATAAACATAACGTTTCGTGTGCGTGTAATACAATTTAGTCCCAAATTAAATAAATATTAAATATTCTATTATTATTACAAGCCAGAAAATAAAATACATAAATAACATAATTTAGATATTTAAATAATTCATACATCAAAAAATATGCAATAAAATTAAAAAATTAAAGAAATAAAATATATTTGTAATTTATATTCTGGCTAATGAAACATTCACAATACATAAACTTTAACTGAAAGGAGAGAAGTAATATCATAACAAAAGATAACTTATTGAAATACAATTTTATATCTAATAAAAAATTAACTTTTGAATTATTTATGGTACAAAAAGTTTTTTATGCAGCATTGAAAATTAACGCTTATTAATTATATAAAAATCAATAATATAAGAGCAGAATTTGTTTTTATCTTCTCAGAATGCATACTACACAGTATTATTGTTTTGGTATATAAAATATAAAATTTTGATTTAAGATTTAATGAAATCACTTTCTTTTTGGCTATTATGTCACAGCAAAATAATTACCAGCATGGTAGTTCCTACTTTAAAAAGGACTAGACTATGTTAAATTACTATTTTGTTACGATTTTTATACGTAACAAAATAAATATTATAAATCAAAAAAAATATTTTTTTGAATGCTCATATAATTTGCGTTCTACAATGTTAAATTTAATTTTATTTACAGTACCAATCAACATCCACTTGTTAGTACAATACTTTTTTTTTCAATGAAGTTTTTTTTTTAAAGAGCAATCTGAATTAATAATTATCAACAGAAATGCCATTTTTTACTTAGCAATATTTAGTAATTATAAATTGTATAAGATTTTTTATGAATACTTGATCTATCATACTAAAAATATAAAAATCGTTTATTGTCTTTCATAAGTGTTTATATGAATTATTTCAATCCTAATAGTAATAATATCAGTAATAACAGTAATAATAACAATAATGATAATGATAAAAATAATAAAATCATCTACAAAACACGAAGCGATACATGTGGATGTATCCATAAAACTAAAAATATTGTACAACACATTTGATTAATCAGAATTAAACAATATTTTTTAACGAATTTCGTAAATTCATATAAGTGTAATATTAAAAAAGCATAAATGTTTATTAAAATATTACAATATTCAATTATTTAGAAAACAATTAGATTTAAACACGGGTAACATTTTGAATATTAGCATATACCTCGATATTTATAATAATCAGTTCGTATTGCTGTAATTGAATTGAACAATACGTATTCTGTTATCCGTAAATTATCGTGCATTTATATCAGAACATTATATCAAGTTTACTTTTGAAAATTTATCACAATACATCGAGATAAAAATCGATGTAAATTAATACATACAATTTCATGATGATCAAAGCATTAAATTTTGCAATTTCATTCTGGATCAGTTTCTCCTTCTCCAATCGCCAATACTGTAACAAGACCAGCAGCTGCTACCTTAGCTTTATATGCCTCCGGTTCGAACCAGCGAATCGGTTCCTATTAAATAAAAATATTTAATTGCATAATTGTAAATAATAAAATATTATTAAAGAGTAATCATTGTAATTTCTACATTACCTTAATATGATGTTATAAGCAGCATGCTTTGAAATTGTAAAGCAAGTGTTAAATGGTTTATGTAAAGGCATGCCGTTTTAGTGTAGTTACATTACACAAACGTTTTCCGACATAATTTTTAAATAAAACAAGAATTTATCACACTTGTGTTATAATATATGAACTACATGATTTTAAAAAATACAAAGTAAAAATGTTTATTATTTTAAAAATCCCATGGTGTTATACAATAATATTCAATACATAAATCTTAATACATAAATTTAATACTTTTTTTCATATATCTTTAAAATAAAAATTGCAATGATATATTTTCTTAAATACATTTAATTGTTAATTTAAATTTAAATTGAATATGCATAACAAACTATGCAATTATTAAACAAATTATAACATTCATAAAACAAAAACAATAATGACTTAGAAGATATCAGTCTAAAAATAATAGCTATAAAGGAGCTATAAAGTTTAAAATAATACAGAATATAACAAACAATACAACATATTTTCGTTTTTTAGTTTACATTATTAACTAAATTCCTAATTCATAAAAGAAGATAAATATATAGAATTAACTTTTAGTAACAAAATAAAAGAATATAATTTAAAAAAAAAACGATATAGTTATGTAATAATACTGTAAATTGTAATTTATTTAACGAAATAAATATATATTAATAAAATAAAATCTAATAATAAACATCAAGATATTATTATAACTTGAAGGCATTATACTCCTTTAATTAAAAAAGAAAAAAGAAGGAAAAAAAAGTGATCAATATAAAACAAATCTTATATGTAATTAGTTCTCTATATAATACTGATAGAAACAATTTTTTTGGTCAAAATAATCAACTATCACAAAAATCATTTTAATTACATCAAATTTTTGGTTTAAGTACGCACTTGTTAAGTACACATGCTTTTATGAGTATTTAAAATATCAGCCATATAATTTAATGTTTATAACAGAATATATATAAGAATATCTCCCTGATTAAAGTTAAATATTATTAAGTCAAAATTGCCTTTCACTAATGGAAAATATCTTGTACTTTCTTACGCTATCATGCTATTACTACTTTTAATAATGTAACGAGATTCAATATTTAAAGGCGAATATTTTCAAGATGAGATAAATAAAAACATAATAATCATTTTAGCCTCAGCACATTTCAGTATAGGGAATGAACGTAACTTTTAAGTAGCTATTAATTTCAGGACGTTAATCTTATATCATCTTGCAAAGAAAATTAGTAAGTAACACTGTCGTACATCAGGTGATTAGCATTGGTATCACATTGATGTACCTTGCGAACAATGTTGGGACATTCCTTTTGAATGCGAGCCCAATCTGCAGGTGGTCGTTTAGCATAAGGGCCTGTTGAACACAGCAATAAAAACTCATATGTGAGTTCTCTAACTTCTGGAACTAAATAAAGTATTACATATCAAAATATCATAACTCGTAAATAAGAATCTTTAAATGATCAATCAAAATAATTACCTTCTTGAGTTGATGAATTTGGTTCAGATATTACATGAGATTTATAAGTTTCTTCACTTTCTGAAGTACTATCCATATTTAATTCTCGGCCTGCTTCGTTTGTATTATTTGAAATTAATAATGTTTTTTGTGTACTGGAAGACGAAATCGAATATGGGGATTCTTCTTCAAAGTTGAAATATTCTATACCACTTGTAAAATTTTCAGAATCTCCCAAAAAATATTCGTCTAAGACTAGTTTTGCAGTCTAACATATAAAGTAATTATGTTAGAAATAATAATACACAAATAATAATACGCTATAAAATTATTACCCGAACAAGATCGAGATTGCATCCTGTAATTTTTAAAGACTGGTTACCAACTGTAACCGTATATTTATATTCGCCTATACTGGCGTCGTTGGTGGAAAAGCTGTGGAGGAGTGAACTTCGTAAACGAGAGTTCTGTTGCTGATGTTGCAGTCGATTACTTTCGTCTGATGCACTACTATTTAGTGATGAGCTAGAACCACCCATAGCTCCTTTTTCTCCTCCACCTTGCTCCAATCTCACCGGTGATGCATTTCGTTGAATCGTATCTTTTATCAAATCCTTCGCGTAACTGATATAATAATGAATAAAAAATAAGTTAGATACTAAATTTGATGAACATTATTATAAATAGTCAAAATTAAACTCACTGTATCTTGTCCTCGGAAGTTCCCGTGATTTGGACAAGTCGTTCTTTGGCTCCAGGGTTTACTACGAAAAAAGCATTATATCATATATATTTTATAATATTAATAAAATGTTAAATTTTTGTTATCAATCAAAATTTATTACATAAATATTCATTTGCATTGTGGTTAATGTGCAATTTGTCAATGCAAAAGTATCAATGAATACGTATTAAATATAAATACTGTTCAAACACTCCAAAACAAATTATTATATATTAAAACGTTAAAAAATTTAACATTAATTATGTGAATATTTCCTGTAAAAAAAAGATAAATTTTTAAACACATTTAAATCCATAAGCACTTATAAGCAATAAATAAAATTATATGAAATGCATAAAATGTTGAATAGCATTGTAACGTCAAATATTATTCAGCATTTTATACTTACTGAAATATGATTTAATAAGCTGCAAACAGTATGCATATTAATGATAATAAAATGTAATACAGTATAAAAAAAATTTTGGGTAATCTCACAACAGCATTTTCACAATAATGTCATTAAGTGATTAACATAATAACATATAAAGGCAAAATATTTCATGCAAATAAAAATAAATGTAAATTACAACACAAATTATATTCGTGAATGTACATAAATATTACTTATGTATTTAATGTATGATATTATAAGAATAAAATTCATCTATTTATGTATTTTACTAAGAAAAAGCTTCTAATATATTGCTTGAACATATTTCTTTATTCTAATATTTTATACACGAATATATAGTAAGTATTTAACGAAATGTTTAATCATAAGAACATAAAATTCTGATTTCTATTACTTTATAAAATAAACTATAATAAATATATTAAAATATAAAAATATTAAAAAATATATAATTAGTTATTTTTGTAATGCGTGGACATGATGCTATTAAGCCATCTGCAAATTGTTTGTTTACCTCGCTGGAAGGAGATGATTGTCTGGCTGAGCTCTTCGATCATGTGAACCCGCCGCCCTTTTATCCCCATCACTGTATTTTTGTGCAAATGATTTAGAAGTAGAAATACATAATACTTACTACTTAATAGATGTGAAAAACAGTATATAAAATATAAGGTATGTCAACAAACAAATTCAAAAATAAAGTGCAATAATAATTTGAAATTAAAATAAACCAGAAATTAAAACCATTCAGAAATTAAAACAATTAAGCCATATTCTACATTATATTACGATGTTTTGTATGTATATTTCATCTACATATATATATATATATTGTTAATATAATATAAAAACTTTGAATTGTTCTTACCTTTACCAGAATCACTGTTACGTATAACAACTTCATCTTTACAGTAGTTTTTCCCAGGAATACGTGTGGGTTTAACAAATTTGCCACTATTTTTTATAACTTCACCAGGTCCTAAAATAGGTGCCACAGTAGGGGAAATTATTGTTGCCATAGGAGATGACAATGCATTTGTAGATGTATCAGGAATTGCTTCTACCTGTTAATTTTGAACGACTTTATAAATCTGCTTTATAATATAATATAATATAATATAATGACATACATTATCCAAATATGATAATTTTTGTGTATAATATACATCCATAGAATCAGTGTGACGCCATTGCTTTGCTCTTAATTCTATAAGTTCCAGCAGGTGAACCCTAGTCGTCAAATCTAGCTTTTCGTCTTGACTTCCATTTCTGATTGCCACAAAAGCTCTATCTAGCTGATCTACACATTAAATGAAAAAAAAAATTGAGATTATTAACATATTACTCATTTCATTTTTTGTATTAAACATATTACTCTAAATTGTACCTTTATAAATAGCTTCTAATTGATGAGCATATAGTTTTAAATGATTACACATAGTGATCACACTTATTTGCAGCGTTCGGTCATGGAAGCCATTAGTTAGTTGCATTGCAACATTGTCGATTAAGGACACTATGTCCTCCACTGTAAAATACAATGTAAAATATAATTTTTCAATTTTAAAAATTAAAGTAGCTAAAATCAATGATCAAGCATTATAAATGAAGTCAATAAAAGAATAAAATGTATTAAAATCTGCATACTTCAAGTTGAAATAAGACACAGTAAATGATATAAATAAATTATATAAGTAAATTAATTAACAATATATTACTAGTCGTAATCCGCCCATCGACGGTCGCGTGGCGTTGAGTAAGTTTAAGCGGCCGAGGTTTTTCTACTTTTTTGATGGTTCTTGCTCGGTTTAGTTGTGTTGCGGCCATTCTCTACAATCTTAAACAAACAAATAAAAAGAATGAAAATGTAAATTAAGCAGAAGAATTACTAAGTAAGCATTAAACATAATATATAAAACATAAAAATCATAAAAAAAATATAAAATTACCTAATGTAGCTTTTATTTAAGAAAAATTTACGTAGTTAGAAAGCATACATTTCAGACACTATCTTTAAGAAACCGTAAGCACAAAATGAGTGTAAGATTTTCTAGTCAATTTTTTTTCAC